AGTGCGATGGGAACGGTGGTGCTGGACGGGCAGATCTACGTTTGCGGCGGATACGATGGAAACTCCTCGCTCAACTCTGTGGAGTCCTATTCTCCAGAAACAAACAAGTAAGAGCTCTGTGTGCCATACAGCTTATCCTCCTGCTGCTGCCAGGGGTGTGCCATGCACGATGTAAGAGAGCCCTGTCAATAAAATAATCATCGTGAAGTTAGGTGGAAAGCATTCCGTACGATGTCCCTCCCAGCAGGAGGTGCAAGCAGACTAAACCCATGATTTATGTGCAGTAAGAAGTGAATGGAGAGGTACTGAAAGCTAGCACTGGAAAGGCCTGCAGAGCTGTGACAGCCTGTGGAGCAGCTGCTTGCTGTGCTAACCTGTCTCCTCTCTTGGCAAGGTGGACAGTGGTGACCCCCATGAGCTCCAACCGCAGCGCTGCTGGTGTCACTGTGTTTGAGGGCAGGATCTACGTGTCAGGAGGGCACGACGGCCTGCAGATCTTCAACAGTGTAAGTGCATAGAATCACAGAATGGCCTGGGTTGGAAAGGATCAATGCTCATCCAGTTCCAACCCCCTGCTGTGTGCAGGGTCACCAACCAGCAGCCCAGGCTGCCCAGAGCCACATCCAGCCTGGCCTTGAATGCCTGCAGGGATGGGGCATCCACAGCCTCCTTGGGCAACCTGTGCCAGTGCCTCACCACCCTCTGGCTGAAAAACTTCCTCCTAATATCCAACCTAAACCTCCCCTGTCTCAGTTTAAAACCATTCCCCCTTGTCCTATCACCATCCACCCTCACAAACAGCCGTTCCCTGTTCATGCACTGAGTGCTTCTTCCCTGTGTATCCCCTGAAGCAGGGTTTAGTGCTGGACAGACAAGGCTCATTCATCTGCCTGGGAGTGAGAATGCAGGAAGCAGTACCTGAACTGGGTTTTCATTCATGTGCTGCCCTCAGCAAGTTGTAATTAAGGGATTTGCAGGGAGCAGCAATAACTATTTCCACCTCACCCAAGTGCAGATGATTGTCTGCAGCCTGAAGTAACGCAGAGCCAAGATCTGCAAATCTGCTTGTCTCAGCTCCTTCCTGAATTGGATGAGTTTGAAGCAGTGCTGAAGTTCTTGCAGGAGGGGTCCATCTAATGGTCTCTCCAGAAACACAGGGGATACAGAATGGTGTTGATTTGGGGGGAAGTTGGGGGTTTCTGCTCCACTCCGCTCCCCTCTCCTTTCCTTTTGTCTCCTCATGGAACCACTGCAACGTGCTGCGAGGGAAAGCAGGGGGTCTCACTAGAGAGCTCTTTGAGGACAGCTTGAGCACACAGCCTTTGGGTCTCACAGCTTTGGTTGTTTCTGCTCTGGGGCACCCACATAATTAAGGTTGGAAAAGACCTGTAAGATAATTTAAGTCCAGCACCAAATCACCTCACCATGACCTCAGTGCCACATCTCCAGATTTCTTGAACACGTGGGACGGTGACTCTGCCACCCCCCTGGACACCCTGTGCCACTGCATTACAACTCTTTTGGAGAAGAAAATTTCCCCAATACCCAACGTGAGCCTCCCCTGGTGCAGCTTGAGGTTCCTGTACCTCTTTAAAACACAACCTGGAAGCTGATAAATAGGGAAGGAGGCAAAGGGAGCTGCATTTTCTGTGGTCTGTGCGGCAGTGGCTGGCGGCACCCAACTCATTAAAGAAGTTGAATGGCATTATGGAGTTGGAGCATATGAAATCAGGGAGCAAGGTCAGGCTGAATGGGGCTCTGAGCAGCTGATGGAGCTGTGGGTGTCCCTGTTCAGTGCAGGGGAGCAGCACTAGATGGCCTTTAGAGTTCCCATCCAGCTCAGATTCCCTGCTAACGCCGTTTTCCCCTAGAGCTTGAGCTGAGTAACCTCAGTAAATTCGCAGATGACACCAAATTGGCTGGAAGTGTGGATCTGCCTGGGGGTAGCGAGGCCCTACAGAAGGATCTGGACAGGCTGGAGAGCTGGGCTGAAGCCAATGGGATGAGTTTCAACAAGGCCAAATGCCGGGTCCTGCACTTCGGCCACAACAACCCCAGGCGACGCTACAGGCTTGGGGCGGTGTGGCTGGAGGACTGCGTAGAGGAAATGGACCTGGGGGTATTGATTGATGCTCGGCTGAACATGAGCCCACAGTGTGCCCAGGTGGCTAAGAAGGCCAATGGCATCCTGGCTTGCATCAGAAACAGCATTGCAAGCAGGAGCAGAGAGGTGATTGTTCCCCTGTATTCAGCACTGGTGAGGCCGCACCTCGAGTACTGTGTCCAGTTTTGGGCCCCTCACTGCAAGAAAGACATGGAGTCCCTGGAACGTGTTCAAAGGAGGGCAACAAAGCTGGTGAGGGGTCTGGAACACAGGGCTGATGAGGAGAGGCTGAAGGAGCTGGGAATGTTCAGCCTGGAGAAGAGGAGGCTCAGGGGAGACCTCATTGCTCTCTATAACTTCCTGAAGGGAGGCTGTAGTGAGCTGGGGGTCGGCCTCTTCTCTCGTGTCATCAGTGATGGGACCAGGGGGAATGGCTTCAAGCTACGGCAGGGGAGATTCAGGCTGGACATGAGGAAGTGTTACTTCTCAGAAAGGGTGGTCAGGCACTGCAATGGATGCCCAGGGAGGTGGTGGAGTCACCGACCCTGGGGGTGTTCAAGGAAAGGCTGGATGTTGTATTGAGGGACATGGTTTAGTGGGAGCTATTGGGAATAGGTGAACGGTTGGACTGGATGATCTTTTAGGTCTTTTCCAACCTTGGTGATTCTATGATTCTATGATTCTATGATTCTGAGCAAAGTGTCTGCTGTCTCTGTGCGTTGCTGGATGCCTGCCTTGAGCTTCCCCCTGATGCTGTGCCATCCCTGTGTCTGTAGGTGGAGTACTACAACCAGCACACGGCCACCTGGCACCCGGTGGCCAGCATGCTCAACAAGCGCTGCCGCCACGGGGCGGCGTCGCTGGGAAGCAAGATGTTTGTGTGCGGGGGTTACGACGGCTCTGCCTTCCTCAGCATGGCTGAGGTGTACAGCTCTGTGGCGGACCAGTGGTACCTCATCGTCCCCATGAACACCCGGAGGAGCCGAGTGTCCCTGGTGGCAAACTGCGGCCGCCTGTACGCCGTCGGGGGTTACGATGGACAGTCCAACCTCAGCTCGGTCGAGATGTACGACCCGGAGACCAACCGCTGGACGTTCATGGCCCCCATGGTGTGCCACGAGGGGGGGGTCGGCGTGGGCTGCATCCCCCTGCTGACCATCTGAGGAGGCGGAGGCGAGGAGCTGCCTTGTCACCGACAATCGTGGGAGAGCTCCAGCCGGCGTTTCCCGCTCTGATAGCCAGAGAGATCCATCTCCAGGTGCTCAAACACACACAGAAACTTGACACGGCTACCCCCACCCTTGGCTCTTGGGCCGAGGCCCCTGAAGGAGCGACGTTTTCGGGACTACGATGCGAGGTGTGAATGTGCTGCCCTGAGCAAGGAGCTGCCCTCCTCCCGCTTTCACCTCTGCGCAGAGCCACAGCTGAGCAAATCCTTCCTCTCCCCAACAGCGCGTCGGTGTGCTTTGGCCAACGCTGGGAGGTGGTGGTGTGGGTTGGGAGGGCACAGAATTGCACAGAACGGCTGCTTCCGTGACTTGAAGAACACCTGCACACCTTCTGTCAGCAGCAAGGACCCCGGCATCCCAAGAGTTTGATCAGCAGGGGTCTTTTTTTGGGTTGTTTCAGCTTCATGCTGGCCACGTTGAGATCTTACCCGGTCTACCAAAGCAGGCAGAACCTACCAATGTAGGCCTGTAAGACCATATCCAAGCTCTGCAAGTTCGGGTGCTTCTTGCACAAGCCACTGCTGGTTTCTCCAAATGCTTTCTTCAGCTTAGATGGGGAAAATTTCTCCACAAGAGCCACACGATGGAGAAACTGGGGGGAGAAAAAGTCGGTTAAACCATGGGAGCGTTTTAGCAAACATGGGAGGAAGAATGCCAAATGTCAACCACACTAAGCAACAGCCTTAGGATTTCAACAGAGGAGGCAAACCGAGGTGTGAATTGTCAGGATAGCCCTTAATGGTCAATAGATGTCTCCAGAAATAAGCTTTGGCTTTTCTACGTTGGTATGTGAGAGGCAGAGTGGTTGGGATCTTTAAGGAGGAGAGGGATCACTGCCTCTGTTTGTGACAGCACAGGAGGTCTGTGGCTGTGTTGGGGCAGCTGCAGTTCAGCTCTGAGGAGCAGAGAAACCTGCAGCAGCCTCCCTGCAAGGCGCTGGTGGGAAACCACACTTCCCCAGCACGGGTGAGATCAACGTCTTGGGGTTTGTGTGCTGGGAAAGGTCTTGGCAATGTGCTTATTTCATGGCTGCCACGCAAGGAAACTTCCTGTGGCCAAACTGTGGCAGGGCTGCAGGTGCTGCCCCGTGTCCCTGCTCGTCCCGTCGGGCTCAGCACCGCTTCCAGCCCTTCTCCCTTTGCTATTTTCAACCCTATTTTCACTGCAGCCAAAGGGAGCTGCTGCTGCTGCCGGCTTGCTCCTTCCCAGAACCAAACCCACCGAGCACCACTTGCCTGCATCAGCCCTCCAGCATTTCCCCTGCATGAATGTGAATGGTGAGAGCCACGGCTCCCTGCCCACCAGCACAGCCACAGGGCAGGGAGCCCCTCAACACTACGCCCACTGCAGGCAGCGGGGGGCTCGCTGCTGCCCTGTGTTTCCAGGAGCTTTGGTGTCCCCCCACCCAAACCCGTGCTTCTCCTTCCTAGCTGACTCCCAGCTCGGGATTTTAACTTTGGGTGTATATGTGGATGTCTATATATTCAGGTACTGTGTATATTTTAGGTATATATAACGAGCATATCTGGCTATAAATGTGGTTTTGTCAGTATGTATTTCTTCTGTATACGGACGTCAGTGGATGGGTTCACTTGGTGAATTCCCTGCTGCTAAGACACTTTAAAAAGGAAAAACAAAACAAAGCACGAGTATTGCAATGGAAATGAAGCTGCTTTGGCATCCTCACCTTGCTCCTGGGTGGGAGGGGGGGGGGGAGGGGAGCTTTGGGCAGCAGCTTTAGCCCTGGATCTGCATGATCCCCTCCCTGCCAGGAGGCTTGGAAGGAAGTGGGAAGGCTTCCAGCTGGGAGCTGCCTGGCTGCAGGCTGTGGCAGGGAACAGTTTGTTTGTACAAGCATCAGCTCCTAGCTCTGAGCAGAGCGAGGGGGACTCAGAATAACTGTGGGGCTCCACATGGGGTTTTGCTCTCTGCATTTGGGAAAGTGAGACGTGGGCAGGCTGAGAGTTGGGCAGAGAGGAGGACGGTGAGGCTCAGCAAGGGCGAGTGTGGGGTCCTGCAGCTGGGGGGAGTTACTGCATGCATCAGAATAGGTCGGGGGTGAGCTGGAAAGGAGCTCTGTGGGGAAGGAGCTGGGTGTTGTGGTTGACCAGCAGTTGGCCAACCATTGACCACAACTGTTGTCCATGGTCACCCTGTGTGCATTGCAATGGGGCTCTGGGGGGTGCAGTGCGCCCAGTGCGGCCAGCAGAGCAACGGAGGTTCTCCTGCCCTCTGCTCTGCCCTGGTGAAGCCGCATCTGGAGCCCTGGGGCCAAAGCTGGGCTCCCCAGTATCAGGCAGACAGGAAACTGATGGGGGAAAGGCTGAGAGCCCCGGGTCTGTTCAGCCTGGAGAAGATGAGAGGGGATGTTACCTCCTCTGGAGACGTTCAAAACCCACCTGGGTGCTTTCCTGTGCGACCTGCCCTAGGGAACCTGCGTTAGGGGGAGCGGGACCAGAGGTTCTATAGAAGTCCATTCCAACTCCTGTGCTTCTGGGATTCTGCACCCCACACAAGGCAAAACGTGCAGCCCCAAAGCGAAGCCCTTCTAATTCCCACCGCCTCTCCAGCTGCCCAGGGAGGAGGATGGGAACAAACCCCACAAAGCTTCGCTGCGGCTCTCCAAGAAAAACAGCAGCAATCCGATCCCTTCCCGTGCCGCCCAGCCCTGTGTTTGTCCTGGAAGCGGAGCCCCATGGCTGTGCTGCTGCTGGCTGTGCTGCTGCTGGCTGTGCTGCTGCCCACCGCCCCGTCATCCACCGCCCCACTGCCCCCCACACCACGCGAGCTGGCCCGCACCGTGCTGGAGGCGCACGGGCGCGATGCGGGCAGCGGGCTGAGGCTGCTCAAGCTGCAAGGAGTCACCAGGACGGTAGGAGCCTCGCTCGGGTTTCCCGCTGGGTTTTGGGGAAGAGGGAGCTTCCTTGCTGTGCCAAATGCTGTCGTTCCCTTGCAGAAGTTTGACTGGGGCACGCACTTCACCATCAATCTCACCGCCCGTGAGATCTCCTGCCCCGCCGGCCCCACGGCGCCACGCGGTGCTGCATGCAGAGCCCGGCCGGGCCAGGTGGGTGCGGGGCACGGTGTGGGACCCCCTCCCAGCACTGCTCCCTCCTGATCCCCCCATCCTGCAGCAGATCCAGCACTGCGTGGCCCAGATCTCCGTCTTTGCCTTCCTGCCTGACGTGCCGCTGTCGCTGCTGGAGTGCAGCCGGCAGACGGTGAGGGCTGCATGAATTCCTCCTCCCTGCATCCCTTCCACTTTGGGGCTGAAGCCCACCCCCATTTCTTATCCTTCAGCCCAGCAGCTCAGGGCAGCCCCGCTCCCGAAGCCGGCACAGCCCTGCAACCCCACGAGCCGTTGGCCTCAGGGAGCCGGCGCCGTCCTGAAGCCCATGAGCGCATCCATCCTGCAGCAGGGGACGTGCAGACCTCATCCATGGAGCCTGTCCCATAGACCCAAGGGCTGAAATAAAGATGTTCCAGGGCTCTGCTGCATGTGTGATGCCTCATCCCCATCCCGCCATCCTGCAGTAGAATGGGATTGAGGTTGCACAAACCTGCAGCTTTTGGGTCATGGTGGGGCGGCTGCAGCCCCACATGCAGCATCTCCATCCCAACTGCCAATAGCACGTTGGCCAACCCTTGGGCTGATAACAGATGGCAGCACACAGGGCTGCTCCACGTATCTGGCTCAGAGCCTGGGGGCTGTTGCAGGGGATAGGAGGGGACCAGGGCTGCTGTATGGGGGGTACTTGGGAGTACAAGCCATGTGGTCTGGGGACAGAACGCTGTGGGGATGATGGGGAGTTGAATGGGAAATGGCTTGTGGGAGTGCGTGGGTCAAAAAGCCTTCACATGGGGGTGGGGACGGGGATGGGAAGGAGTTCTTGAATCCAATGGCAGCTGTCCCATGAGTCTGGGGGTGCCTGGAACCTCCATTGTCATCGCAATGCGATGGAGCCTCATCCCAATGGGATGGAGCCCGATCCGTCCGTCTGTCCCAGCTGGGCACTGCCAGTCTGCTCCTTGGGGACCATTTTATGGCTACGTGGCCTCTCAACCAGAGCACCCCATGCCCTGCAGCACAGCCAGGGATGTGGGATGCAGCCTGCAGCGGGACAGGGCAGCCCATGGGCGCAGCCACGTCCCCACCACAGCTTTTCCCCCCCAGATAACTGCCGCGCTGTGGCTGCTCCCCCTGGGCCCGCGTTTCCGCGTTGCCCAACTTCGGGGCCAATAAAAGGCATTGGGAGCGACGAGCGGGCACGGGGCGAGGATGGCGAGCTGCTGGGTGCTGGTGCTGGCGCTGCTGGGGGGGGCCTGCGCCCTCCCGGCCCCCCTGGGCTACCCCCAGGCTCTGGCCCAGGCTGTGGACTCCTACAACCAACGGCCTGAGGTGCAGAATGCCTTCCGGCTGCTCAGCGCCGACCCCGAGCCCGGCCCGGTGAGTGCATGTGGGGACAGCGTGGGGACAGCACGAGGACACCATGGGAGATACTGGGGACGTCGTGGGGAAGGCGTGGGGAGGTGTGCAGGCATCATGGGGACGGCGTGGGGACACTTTGGGGAACATCCGAGGAACCTCGTGGGAACGGCATGAGGACATGGGAGGGACAGCGTGGGGACACAAATGCCGAGGACACCTTTGGACATCAAAGGGACATCATGGGGAAACCCTGGGGAAGGCATGGGGTCGGCATGGGGCCGTGGTGGGGCCAGCCGGGGGACGTAAGAGGGGAAGCAGAGCTGCTCCCCCCGCCCGGCTCTGAGCCGTGCCCGGAGCAGCCGGGGCTGCCGGGTGGCTGCCACCACGCTGTGCCCTGCCCCCAGAACGTCCAGCTCAGCTCCCTGCACAACCTCAACTTCACCATCATGGAGACGCGGTGCCAGGCGCGCTCGGGCGCCCAGCTGGACAGCTGCGAGTTCAAGGAGGACGGGGTGAGCGCCGTGCTGGGCTGGGGGGCGCCGGGGGCTCCCGGGGGGAGGGACGGCCCCGTGCTCAGTGTCCCCCTGCTCACAGCTCGTCAAGGACTGCGCTGCGCCCGTGGTGCTGCAAGGCGGCCGCGCCGCGTTCGATGTCACCTGCGTGGACTCCATGGCTGACGTGAGTGGGGACACCATGGGGGTGGTCCCAGGGGTGCTTGGGACCCCCTAGGGCCAGGCTCCCATTCCCCCGCTGATGACAACGCTTCTCCCCACAGCCCGTCCGCGTCAAGCGCTTCTGGCCGCTGGTGCCGGTGGCCATCAACACGGTGGCTGCGGGCATCAACCTCTACAAAGCCATCAGGAGGAAATGAGCTGTCCCCAGAGCCGCTGTCACCACTGTCCCCCCACAGCCCCCCACTCAATAAAGCTGTTTTCTGGCCATGCTGTGTCTTTGCTGTGTGTCGCCTCTGAGTGATGCTGATGGGGACAGTCCCCATGCTGTCCCCACGGTGCCACCCCCATCCTGTCCCACAGCATGGGTTTGGGACCTGAGGACACCCAAGGAGACCCCAGATGTGGACTGAGCATGGGGAGACTGCAGTATGCAGTGCTTGGGGATTGTGTGAGTCCATGGGGCCTTTGTAGGGGACGTAAGGGGAAAAGAGGGGACAGGAGGAGGATGTCCTCAGGGCCCTGCTGCAGCCACAGTCCTCCACCTCCAGCTCCCATGGCATGAGATCCCCATGCATCCCTATGTCCTCATCCTAAAATGCTAGTGATGGCCTCAGTGGCAAGGCTGGGGACAGCACTGGTTGCTCCTGGACAGGGCTGCGGCATGGGGGTGGCCTCAGGTTCAGGACCCCAACATATGGGGACAATGATACAGTGATGGGTTGGATGGGAAAATGCTCATCAGGGCTGAGAGGCTCAGTAACCCTCGTTACAGAGGAGAAGAATGGGGCCCTAATGGCATCACTCCCCTGGTAGGGGCCGTGCATGGTGACTGTGGTGACCTCCAACCCCGTGCCTCAGTTTCCCCATCAGGCAGTGAGAGGAGAGCCCAGGTGACACTCGGTGGCCACGCACGGCCCCATTTATTCATTCAGCCAAAGCGCGCGCTGCCCTGGATGGTGATGCTGACCTTGGGGCGGAAGCGCCGGATCTTTCTCAGGAAGCGGCCAAATCGACCCCGCTGGACGAGAACGGGCTGTGGGGTGAAGGCTGGTGTCACTGGGGCAGCGGGAGCCCATCTCTGGGACCCCACATCTGGAGCCCCACCGTCGGGGCCGCGCACACGCCTTCATCCCTTTCTCCATCATCTCCATCACGGAGACCATCAGAGCAACGCCAAAGCTTGCTGGGAACGGGGACCCCTCGAAGCGCGGGGCAGGATGAAAGGTGCCAGCGTCAGCATCCCACCCCACAGACCCCACACTCACATCCGATGAGGCGTCTCTGCAGCGCAGGTCGATCTCAGGAGTGTCCTGCAGGAAGGTCACCGGCCCCGAGCACTCCCTGATGGCCTGAGGACGGGCACCGTGTCACCTCACGCCCCCCAGCCGCCCTCCCCATCATCACAGCCCTCCCATCCTCACCCCGTTCTCCTTGAAGTCGCAGTCATCGATGGGCGTCTGTGCCCTTGGGATGCACTCTGTCTCCATGATGGTGAAGTTGAGCGCCCGCAGCGTGTTCAGATCGACGCCCTGTGAGGAGTGGCCGCCACGGGGTCACGTCCTCCCCATGGAGCAAAGCCCCCTGCAACCATGGCGCCCCCAAAGTGTCCTCACAACATCCCCATGGCGTCCCCATGAAGTCTCCAAGGTGCTCCCGCAGTTTCTCCATCATCTCCCTGTGGTATCTCCGTGGTTCTCTCAGGGTGTCCCCATTGTGTACTCCAGTTGTCCCCTTGTCATCCCAACAGTGTCCCCATGATGTCCCCAAAGTGTTTGCACAGTATTCCAACTGTGTCCCCAGAGGGTCCCCAAGATGTCCCCACTGCGTCCTCCTGATAACCCCATGCTACCTCCACGCCGTCCCCATGCTGACCCCAAGATGTTCTCATTATGTCTCCATGCTGCTCCTAGGATGTCCTCAGGATGTCTCCAGGCTGACCTCAGGATTTCCAACCCATGTTGTTCCCCAGAGTGTCCCCATCCTGTCCCTGTTGTGTCCCCATGCCTTCCCCAGGATGTCCTCAATATCTCCCCTTAGGGTCCTCATGGTTTCCCCATGCTGTTCCCTGCTTTCCCCAAGGTGTCCCCACTATGTCTCCATGTTATCCTCAGCATGTCCCCACAAACCCCCATGCTGTCCCCAGGATGTCTCCATGCTGTCCCATGTCTCCCTCAGGATGTCCCTCAATACCTCCCCATAGTGTCCTCAGGGTGTCCCCATGATATCTCCATGCTGTCCCACAGTTGTCCCCACGGTGTTCCCACTACTGTCCTCACGTTGTCCCCAGGATCTTTCCCAAGGTGCTCCTACAGTGTCCCCATTGTGTCTCCATTCTATCCCCATTCTATCCCCATGCTGTCCCTCTAATCTTCCCACGCTGTCCCCACATGCACTCACCGGGCCGGGCTCGGGGTCGGCGCTGAGCAGCCGGAAGGCATTCTGCACCTCAGGCCGTTGGTTGTAGGAGTCCACAGCCTGGGTCAGTGCCTGAGGGTAGCCCAGTGGGGCCGGGAGGGCACAGACCCCTCCAAGCAGCGCCAGCACCAGCACCCAGCAGCTCGCCATCCTCACCCTGTGCCCATCCTGTGCCTCCAATGCCTTTTATCGGCCCCAAAGTTGGGCAATGAGGAAGGAGAAGCCACAACGCGGCCGTTATCTGCAGTGGGGACGTGGCTGTCCCCGCAAGGCACAGGGCACGTCCCCTGCTTTGCTCCGTGCCCCTCTCCCTTTGGGTCATGGCACAACCACAGGGACACACACAGCCACAGCAGGCAGAAGGGACCTTTATTGGGGACGCTTGGTGACAGCCACGCTGGGGCTGCTCACGGCCATGGAGTGCTGGTGATGTTCAGCCGTCCACGCACAAAGAAGGGGCCGCGCTGCCGCAGGCGCTTCCTGATGCCATCCCACCACTCCCGGATGCGGGTCCACCAGTTGCGGATGGGCTGCAGGGAGAGAAGTGGCTTTTGTGACCCTCGGGGTGACGAGGGAACCTTGGTGGCTCCATGGTGGGGGATGAGGTCTCTCACCTGCACCCGCAGCGGTCCGCAGCGCAGCTCAGCAGTGGGCTGCCGTTCCATGGACACGGTGCCCACGCAGCGCTGCAGGGCCTGTGGGGAGCGAAGGGTTGTGTGGGGCAGACCCCCAAACATGGCCACGGTTTCCTTCTTGGCCACCCACCACCCCTCAGCCCCCATGGGATGGGTCCTCACCCCTCGCTCGCAGCTCCTGCAGTCGACCCCAGGTGGGCATGGGGCATCCTCCACAAGGAAGCTCACCTCCCGCCGCCGCTTCAGGGTCCCAGCCTGCGAGGGGATGAGGACCAAAGGGATGGGATGAGACCCAGCCCTCAGCCTTGGGATCCAACAGCCCAGCACTCACCCAGCCGGGTTGGGGTTGTGCTGCCCGCAGTCGTAGGGTGCATGGACCCGAGATCTTCTGGTTGAGCAACCGCACGGCTGCCAGGATGGCATCCAGGTAGGTGGTGGGCCAGCGCCAGGGCCTGGATGGTGAGATGGAGCCATCCAGCTTTGGGGTGATGGGTCCATCCAGCTTGGGTGTAATGGAACCATCCAGCCCAGTTGGCGTGGATCCATCCAACCCTGGTGGGATCGATCCATCCAACCCTGGTGGGATCGATCCATCCTGCCCTGGTGGGATTGATCCATCCAACCCTGGTGGGATTGATCCATCCTGCCCTGGTGGGATCGATCCATCCAACCCTGGTGGGATCGATCCATCCTGCCCTGGTGGGATCGATCCATCCAGCCCTGGTGGGATCGATCCATCCTGCCCTGGTGGGATCGATCCATCCAGCCCTGGTGGGATCGATCCATCCTGCCCTGGTGGGATTGATCCATCCAACCCTGATGGGATCGATCCATCCAGCCCCGGCACAGCGGACACATCCAGCCCCGGTGTGACGGCTCTGGATGACCCCAGCAGCAGCAGCAGCAGCAGCAGCACCTCGGAGGGCCGCATCCTGCTCATGACCGCCTGCAACCTCCTCCTCTGAGCGCTGTGCCGGTGCTGCTGGAGCCCCTTTATGGCCATCCCAACACCTCGGGGCGTTCCCAGGAATCCATGCATTCTGCACCTGGGGGCAGCCCAGCCTCTAAGAGGGTCAACAAACCCCCCCATCTCCACCATGGCACCGGGGATTTCCAGTGCACGAGGATGTTTGCGGCACAGGAGAGGATGGCCAAGTCTTGCATCAAGCCTACTGGGTCCACGCCAGTCACACTGGGTGGTGGCACATCGGGGAAGTTCCGCTGAAGGCCATAAATCTGTCCAACAGCTCTGCAGGAGCCACCCTGCAGCACGGCACCTCTGGCTCCAGGCCCAATGCATGGTATGGGAACAGCCTGGGAACATCGTGGGGACACTACTGGATGTATGGGGGACAGTGTGCGGGCAGCTCAGCGACAGAATGGAGACACAATGGGGACAACAGCTTAGGGACATCCGTGGGACATTTTTGGGATGTCTAGAGGTCAGCCCGGGGACAGCCTGGTGACAGCATGGAGACATAATGGGGACACATGGGGATGTGTTGGAGACATCCCGGGGAAGGCATGGGGTAGCACAGAGATATAATGGAGGCACCATGGGAACACGCTGGGGACATCTTGGGGACATGGAGAGGACATCTTGGGAGTGTCCTGGAGACACCATAAAGACATCATGGGAACTTCGTGGGGACACAGGGCAGACACGGTGGGGACACCTCGTGGACATTGTGGGAACACTCTGGGGACAATATAGGGACACCAAGAGGAGAACAGGGTGAGGATGAAGGGGCCGTGGCAGGGGGCAGCTGGGGAGCATGAGGTGACACTACAGATGATGGATAAAGGGACCAGGGGGGTCTTGGACACGTGCAGGGGCCCAGATGTGGGGTTCCCAGAACGAGGCTCCAAATGTGGACTCCCAGCTGCCACATCTACATCTGAGGTCCCCTTGGCTGTCCCCAGAGCCCAGCTCGTGCTTAGGAACACCATGGGGAGCAGCTGGCACCACGGGGCTTCCCCCAGACATCCCAAGAACCCCATCAGCATCACTCAGAAGAGACACAGAAAAGATAGAGTGGCCAGGAAACACCTTTATTGGAAGGAAGGCAGCAAGGGGGCAGCGGTGACAGCGGCTCTGGGGACAGCTCATTTCTTCTTGATGGCCCGGTAGAGGTTGTATCCTGCAACTACAGTCCTGATGACCAGCGGCCAGTAGCGCTTGACGCGGACGGGCTGTGGGGAGAAGCGTTGTCATCAGCAGGGGAATGGGAGCCTGGCCCTAGGGGGTCCCAAGCACCCCTGGGACCACCCCCATGGTGTCCCCACTCACGTCAGCCATGGAGTCCACGCAGGTGACATCGAACGCGGCGCGGCCGCCTTGCAGCACCACGGGCGCAGCGCAGTCCTTGACGAGCTGTGAGCAGGGGGACACTGAGCACGGGGCCGTCCCTCCCCCCGGGAGCCCCCGGCGCCCCCCAGCCCAGCACGGCGCTCACCCCGTCCTCCTTGAACTCGCAGCTGTCCAGCTGGGCGCCCGAGCGCGCCTGGCACCGCGTCTCCATGATGGTGAAGTTGAGGTTGTGCAGGGAGCTGAGCTGGACGTTCTGGGGGCAGGGCACAGCGTGGTGGCAGCCACCCGGCAGCCCCGGCTGCTCCGGGCACGGCTCAGAGCCGGGCGGGGGGAGCAGCTCTGCTTCCCCTCTTACGTCCCCCGGCTGGCCCCACCACGGCCCCATGCCGACCCCATGCCTTCCCCAGGGTTTCCCCATGATGTCCCTTTGATGTCCAAAGGTGTCCTCGGCATTTGTGTCCCCACGCTGTCCCTCCCATGTCCTCATGCCGTTCCCACGAGGTTCCTCGGATGTTCCCCAAAGTGTCCCCACGCCGTCCCCATGATGCCTGCACAGCTCCCCACGCCTTCCCCACGACGTCCCCAGTATCTCCCATGGTGTCCTCGTGCTGTCCCCACGCTGTCCCCACATGCACTCACCGGGCCGGGCTCGGGGTCGGCGCTGAGCAGCCGGAAGGCATTCTGCACCTCAGGCCGTTGGTTGTAGGAGTCCACAGCCTGGGCCAGAGCCTGGGGGTAGCCCAGGGGGGCCGGGAGGGCGCAGGCCCCCCCCAGCAGCGCCAGCACCAGCACCCAGCAGCTCGCCATCCTCGCCCCGTGCCCGCTCGTCGCTCCCAATGCCTTTTATTGGCCCCGAAGTTGGGCAACGCGGAAACGCGGGCCCAGGGGGAGCAGCCACAGCGCGGCAGTTATCTGGGGGGGAAAAGCTGTGGTGGGGACGTGGCTGCGCCCATGGGCTGCCCTGTCCCGCTGCAGGCTGCATCCCACATCCCTGGCTGTGCTGCAGGGCATGGGGTGGTGATGGGTCTGGAGGGCAGGATTGCTGAGGGGCAGCTGAGGGCGCTGGGTTTGTTCAGCTCTGAGCAGTGAGGCTGAAGGGATGCCTCATGGCAGCCAGGGTTTTGCCATCTCCAAGCTCATCACCACTGCTTTCTCACAAGAAAGAGAATAAGAAGGGTGGCTGGAAGCCAGTCATGACCCAACACGGGAAATTTTCTTAAACATTTTATTGAGAGAGGGTTCAGCAAAGGGTCAGGTTCCCACAGAGGTTGCAGCCTGGTCTCCTGTTTCATAGCTGCCACCCGTAGCAGGAACGAACCCTAACAAAGATCACAAATTACAGAATCGTTAAGGCTGACCCCTGAGATCCCCAATTCCAACCCCAGCTCACCGCCCACGTCTCTCAGTGTCACACCTCCATGTTTCTGGAACGCCTCCAGGGACGTTGATCCCACCACCTCCCTGGGCAGCCTGTGCCACTGCATCTCTACTCATTCCAAATAGAACTTTCCCCCGTTACCCAACCTGACCCTTCCCTAGCACAACATGAGGCCATTCCCTCTCATCCTATCACTATTACTGCGAGAGGCTGACCCCCACCGCAGTTCGATCTCCTTCCAGGGAGCTGCAGGGAGCAGCAAGGCCTCCCCTCAATGGCTGGAAGGGCCCTCACAGCCCATCTGTATGCACACAGCGTGCAGGGATTGCAGGGATCTCGTCCCACAGCCCCGTGCCCACATCCAGCCCGGCGCTGAGCGCTGCAGGGCTGTGACACCCGCACACACTCCTGATGTCGAACCCCAATGTCTTCTCTTTTCATGTAAAGCTCTTCCCTTTGTCTTGTCACTCCTCAGCTGAGCAAACAGCAACGGGGCGTGCCTAGTACATAAATCTCCTTTTATTTGCCTTCCTCCCAGCGCTGCCAGTGCACCGCCCCGGGCTCTGTTTGGTTTCTCCGTTCCCACAGCCGGGCTGGGGGTTGCGGCCTGGCTGACCTGAGCGGACCGAACCCGGCCAGAGCCGCGCGCCCAAACCCGACCCGCCGCACACCACCCGTCATAAAATGGCGGCGCCCGTCAGCCACGAACCGGAAGTGCTTCCTCTTTCGCGCTCGATTCCGTCAGGGGAACCTGGGGAGCTCAGCCAATAGAAAATGGCTGCGCTTTGATGATGTCATCATGCTGCGCCGGAGCGCATGCGCACTTTGTCTCATTGCCGGGCCGGCGTGCGGCGGGGCCGGGCGAGGTCAGCGCGGATGGCTGCGGTTCCGCGGCCCGGGGTGATCGGAAGCGGGGTTCGAGTTCTCGGGGAGCTGCGTGCGGGCCAGGGTCGGGATTTCCTAAGGGCTACGGCCTCTGAGGCCGCTGCGAGTTCGGCGCAGCCTCCGGGCCAGGAGTTCGCCCTGTTCGGCTCACGGTGCGGGGAGGCCCGGGTGTCAGGATGCGCAGGGGGAGGTTTGAGTGGGGCGTTATGAAGGATCTAGCGTTGTGGAGCGTCGGAACGGGCTGCCCCGGGAAGTAGGGGAGTCCTTGTCTCTGGGGATATTTAAAGGACGTGTGGATGTGGTGCCGAGGGACGTCGTTTAGTGATAGGCATGGCAGCGCTGAGTTAATGGTTGGACTTGGTGAGCTTGGAGGCATCTCCCAACCGAAGTGATACCGTGGGTCTGCCCACGTGGGTCCCTTCCAGTTTTATTCTGTGGAGGTATTCATAGGGATGCTCTGCGCTTCTGTGACTCGCAGCTTTAAACCTGTTACCTCTCCTCTTCCCCCCTGAACCTCCCCGTTCCTAAAGCCTTTCTTTTCCTCCTCCAGCCTCCCCAAGATGCAGTGCTGAGCCCCTCAGATCCCCGCCATGGCAGCCCGGCTGGTGCAACGCTGCTGCTGGCGGCACCTCATCACCTTCACCTGCGCTCCTGCTGCTGCCCCGGCTGCTCTGCTGCTGCCCAATGGGAAGCTGCCAGCAGCCAGAGCCCTGCCACACACACCTGTTGCCTCTATCCACACCTCCGTCCCCTCTGCCTGGAACGCAGACAGATTCTCTGTCAAAGAGCAGGTGGAAGAAAACAGTAACTCAGAGCACAGAGCGATCCTGAATCTCATTGAGGCAGCCACAAGTCCTCAGGAACTGTTCCAGCTGGGTGAACTTCACTCTCTAAATAGCAACCAAGCTTCGCTGGTGGTTACTCGACTTTCTTGGCTTGCAGTGGAAAAGAACCTGGAAACAGGGGACATTCTGCAAGATGAACGATTTCGGCAGCTTATTGAGATCGTGGATTCTCAGGTGAGTTCCCTTCTTGTGATGGAGGCAGTTTGGAGAAAGAATGGGTCTGGGAAGGCTGGCCTGGAGCAGCGAGTGCTGCCTTTTCCTTTCCCTTGTGAATTTTCACAGCTGGTACCTTCTCTGCACTTGTTGGCAGAGATGTATCAGCATCAGGTCACACACACAAAAAAAGATGCAGGTGTCTGTGGCTCAGCAGAGAGGGTGGACTTCAGAGCTAGGAGAGCCAAGCTGCTGTGCTGGGAAAGCAAGAAGCTGAGCAGCATGGCCTTGCTCCCAAAAGGGAAGTGGATAAGAACACCTCTAGCTGGGATATAATCAAGCAAAGTCACTGCAAACACAATTGTTTCTCTCCAGAGAGCTGTTCCTGCAGTGTGCAGCTAACTGGATGTAAGAAGTCATTGTGTAGATGCACGGGGACTAGAAGTGTTCAAGGCCAGGTTGGATGGGGCTGTGGGCAGCCTGGTCTGGTATGAAATGGGGAGGTTGGTGGCCCTGCCTGTGGCAGGGGGTTGGAGATTCGTGATCCTTGAGAGCCCTTCCAACCCTGGCTTCTGTGACTAAAATTAATCGCCTTGCAACATCCCTGTGTCACCAAGTTGGAGGATTTGAACGTTAGGCTGAAGCAGCACACAGGGTCAGACCAGGGAGAGCAGTCTGCGTGGCTGGGACACCAGGAGCTCTGCCTGCTTTCTCGCTGCATCCTGCTTTGGGATTTCCACTTCAGGTGACTTTGGTGGATTACCCTTAGAGCACTCAGGTCATTCTTGCACCCAAGCATTGAGCCATCCCTGAGTTTTAGGATGTCGCAGGGCTGGAGTTGGGGCAGGCAGGGCAGTTAAAGAGTCTGTTTGCTGGAGGCCACCTGGTCCATCCTGCCCTGAGCATCATTGGCTGTGATTCTGCCTCGTTTGTTTCACTGCTCGCTGAGGTCATATTCCAGCCACGCCACAGGGAAATTTAGGTGTGTGCACCTCCAGAGAAGGGTAAAAATCTACTTAGATATTTTTACTTGCCTCCCAGATATCTCAGGTGTGGAATAACACCTTGGTGGGCCTCCTGAAGAGCCTGTACTCGCTGGGGATGGAGAGCAGCAGCAGGGAGGTGCAGTCTGTGGAGCAGGAGGTGCTGTGGCGGTTGCGGCGCCTCACCTTCCGCCAGCTCGCCTCCTTGGCAGAGTTCTTGGCTGTCAAGCAGGGCAAGGAGAGCAAACTGCTCCACGAGGTCATCAAGAAGCTGGAGCTGCGGTGGACAGAACTAGAGGGCACCAGAACCGTGGTGATGCTGATTGCCAAGGTTGGGCACATCTCCTCAGTGCTGATGGACCGGTTAGAGGACAAGGTATGGGCTTGGGCGCTCCGTTCCCTTTGGGTGGGACATCTCCTGGGGGCAGTGACAGTGTGAGGGACGTCCTGTGTGGGCACTGCTCCACCAGCACGTTCCTGTCAGCCTGTCTTGCAGAGGATGCAGCTCGCTTCCCATGTGCAAAGGTGCTCAAAAGAAACCTTTTCCTCTTTGGAGCCACACAGATGAGGAGTTCGCACGTGGGAGCTCTCAGACCTGCGCTGGTCTGAGCTGCTCAGAGGTGGACTGAGCTGATGTGCTTTGCCTTGCAGCTAGAATTACCTTATCTGTGTGGTAGAATTACCTTAGCTCAGCTGGCGGGCGGTAACTTGCAGAGGCAGCAGAAAGTCACTGCCAAAAGCATTGTCCTCTGGCTCTCTGTGAAAGTCAGGCTGTGAGCAAGGAGTCTGCAGGGAGGTCTGTGCTCCAGCAGGTCCCTCTTTCTGTCACTTCCAGGAGTAGGGAAATGTCTTTTGGGTTGAAACTGCCACGGGGCCATGACTGCAGCTGCGTCAAATTCGGTCCTTGTCCAGCCCCGCGCTGGGGACCGGCCAAACAGCTGCCACAGCAACAAGCCCTGCAGCTCATGGGCCCCACTGTTGTTCTCCCTCAACTCTGGGGATAAATAAATGCTGCAGACATTGCACATGGCAAAGCAGGATGCCGTTGTGGGGTTGTCAGCTTATGCAGAGCTGGAACTCCAGGTGGCTGAAGTATGTGCAGCTCTTAGAGGGGGTCCAGAGGAGGGCCACTAAGATGATCAGAGGCTGGAGCAGCTCTCCAGTGAGGAAAGGTTGAGGGAACTGGGCTTGTTTAGCTTGGAGAAGGCTCTGGGGAGACCTCATCCTGGCCTTCCAGTGCTTGAAGGGAGCATATAAACAGGAGGGGGAACGGCTGTTTGTGAGGGTGGATGGTGATAGGACAAGGGGGAATGGTTTTAAATTGAGACAGGGGAGGTTTAGGTTGGATATGAGGAGGAAGTTTTTCCCCCAGAGGGTGGTGAGGCACTGGCACAGGTTGCCCAAGGAGGTTGTGGATGCCCCATCCCTGGAGGCATTCAAGGCCAGGCTGGATGTGGCTCTGGGCAGCCTGGGCTACTGGTTGGTGACCTGCACACAGCAGGGGGTTGGAGCTGGATGAGCACTGTGCTCCTTTTCAACCCAGGCCATTCTACATTGGGCAGATGAAAACAGGAGTTACAGTGGGCAG